TTGGTTATGATTACTCTGCAGCATGCTGGTTAGGGATTGCTGCCCTCTCCAGTCTGCTGGTTCCCACTGAACTACAAGCAGGGATGGGGCAGGCTTGCCCCTCCCTTCTGAGCTGGTCAACCACTGGGAATCTTCACTATGTTAGTGTGTGATGCATGGATGGACTGGTTAGGGGTAGCTTCAGGGAAACCTCATATTGGATCATGCACAGGAGTGGGACTCAGTCTAAGCAATTCTCACCAATCTGCTCTGTGCTACGAGTCACTGACTGAAGCCCCTGTAGTTCTGGTTCCAGGCTTATCCTGCCCAACTCCAAGATGTTACCTGGCCAATTGCCCACTCTCGCAGGAGGGCTGAGTTCCCCACCTGAGCCAGTGCTGTTCTCTGCTCCACTGCTCCCCTCTGCAACCACATCCTCCCACTATGGCACTTGGGCTTCAACTTCACTGCGACCACATGTCTTCAGTTTCCAGTGGTGTTTCTTACACAGTGGGACTGGCTCTGGTGAAAGCGCGTTTGGCTATAGCCTTCTGTCCACGTTTTTCTTTTCTTTTTTTTACTTTCTTTTTTGCCCTTTAGCTTCTTCCTGGGTTGAAAGGATCCATATCCTTCTGTCTGGTCTTCTGTAAGATGTTATTAGCTGATCCTCTCAGAGAGGCTCTTTACTTTGCTACTTATGGATCTTCCATCTTCCCCAAGGCCTTCTCTCAATATTTCAACAATTTTATGGTGATATGGAAAGTTTTTGTAGCTCTATATTTATATACTTTATCATAAGCAGACTTTTTCAATTGACGAAAAAGTCTTTTGCAACCAAAGAATAACCAAATACATCTTTTGTAACCAAATAAAAGAATAACTATACTTGTTAGTTATTATCTTCAAGATAGTTATTCAGTACCAGAGAGAAAGAGATAAATATGTTAAGTAGCTTTCTGTTGCTGCAAAAACACTCAAAAAGAACAACTTAAAGGATTGTTTATTTGTATTTTGGCTCATGGTTGTAGTCCCTCATCAACTGGCTCCATTGATTTTGGGCCTAGGGTAAGACAGAAACATCATGGCGGAAGAACTTTGTGGAGCTAAAAGCTGTTCAACTCACGACAGGCAGGGAGCAGAGAGAAAAAGAAAAGGACAGAACCAGAAACAATATGTACTTTTTTCAGGGAAGAGCCTCAGTGACCTACTTCCTCCAATTACTGCAGTGTTTACCATCTCCAATTCCACTCAGTCATGAACTTTAACAACAAATGTTAATTCTTTTAAAAAGTTTGAACAAGCAATTGATTAGGAGAGATCAACTAACTGTTGTTTTGTACTTTTTATTCAGGTTGCAGGACAGATCTTTGACTTATTTCTTCTGAGATACAGTTGTTCATATTCAACATTTCACACATTTCTATTGTTTAAGTAAAATACAAAAAAGAATTCCCAATGTATACTTCTGGAAATGTTCACGTTTTTATTATTAAAATTTGTCTCCCAATAAAGAATTCATGCAACTCCATAACAAAAAGACTAGTTTAAAAGTGGTCAAAGAAGGGGTTTGGGGTTTAGCTCAGTGGCATAAGCGCCTGCCTTACAAGTGTGTGGTTGTGAGTTCGATCCCTGGTACCGATAAAAAACAAAAAGCAAAATAAAAAAAAATAAAAAAAAAAAGAATGACTTGCTATGATTTGGGCTGGGGATTTAGCTCAGCAGCATAAGCACCTGCCTTGCAAGCAGGCGGCCATGAGTTCGATCCCTGGTACCGATAAAAAGAAAAAAAAAAAAGTGGTCAAAGAATTTGATATATTTCTCCAAAGAGGATAAATAAATACGAACAAGTACAAGAAACCAAGTTCAATGTCATTAGTCACTGGGGAAATAGAAGTGAAAAGTATAATAATACCATAAACCCTCACTAGGTTGGCTTTAAAAAATATCAGAGGAAAAAACACGTGATGGCAAAGATGTTAAGAAATTGGAACTCATATGAAAGGTATGATCAGAAAATTGTGTGAATGTTTAACTCTTCAAAAGATTATTTCAGTAAAAGACTATCATTAATTTCCCTCCAATTGAAAATACTTATCATCCTTGTCACCTTCTGAAATTATTCTTGAAGCTCTGTTTTTGACCTTTGTTGTGCTGCTGTGGCTATCTTGATATCAGAATGGATTAAAAACATTTACCTTTTGTGATCATTTTGACATTTGGGAAAATCCAGAAGGTAAACAGTGTCACATCTTGCAAATAAGGTGATAAGGACATGCAACAAAGTTTTTATGAGCTTCCTTTTCCATTGTATGGCATGTGGCAGAAGGATTCACTGTAGTGTTTTGCTTTTTTTTTTTTTTTTCCTCACATCTCTTAAAGATGCACAGAAGGCCTAGAACTGCACAGAAAACCATCCAAGGTGGTATAGACCTGTATTACCAGCACTTAGCTGATATAGGAAATCACTGCAAGCTTGAGTTAGTTTGGATTACATCATGAATTCAAGGCCAGCCGGCACTAGAGAGACCATGTCTCAAAAACAAAACAAAACAACCCCCCCCAAATCCAAAACAACACTGAAATCCCCAATCACTCAAAATTAAAAAAACAAAACAAAAGAAAAACAAACAAAAAAAACTGTTTCAGAAAGTGGCCAGAATGATGGAAAAAGTATGTTTAAATGAATACAGTATTTTGAAGTGGATCAGTAGTGATGTGTCTTTTGTATAAAAAAGTTATGTTTAAACATTCATCATATATTTTAATCACTCCTTTTACACTGTTGATAAGAATGTAAAATATTGTAGCTACTATAGAAAGCAGTTTGTTGGTTCCTTAAAGTTAACCAAAGAATTACCAAATGCCCTAGCAATTCCACTCATAGGGCATATACACATACAATATTGAAAATAGGTATCTGAAAATTCCTATACATGAATATGTATAGCAGCTCTATTCACAATAAGCTAAAGGTAGAAACAACCCAAATGCCTGTTAACTCATGAATGGATGAACAAACTCTGGTATACAATGAAATATTATTATTCTTCTACGGAAAAGAAAGAAGTAATGATACTACAGCATAGTTGAATCTTGAAAATTTATGCTAAATAAAAGAAACTGGATACAAAAGCCTGAATATTATATGGTTTCATTTACATGAAACATCTAGCATAGCCAATTCTACAAGACAGAAAGGAGATTAGTGGTTGTCTAGTATTTTTGGGAAGGGGAATGTTGAATGACTGTTGAATGTGGGGTTATTGTTTGGGGGTGACACAATATTCTGGAACTAGATGATAGTGATGATTGCCTAATATGGTGAATGTATTAATTCCAATAAATACTTCTTTATTTATAGCCATTTTAAATGACATTTTGTATGGCTACAATAGTAAATTTTATGTTCATGCATTTTGTCACAATAAGATGATAATAAATGCCTTGTGATATTCAGGATATTATCATTTTTGAGGATATCTAAACATTATGTATTGCATTATACATAGCAGATCTTGCTTTTTTTTTTTTTTTTTTTTAGACAAGGTCTCACCATGTAGTTGCTGACCTTGAACTCACTATGTAGCCCAGAATACTCATTGTATTTTTAAAAATTATGTAATTATAAGAAATTTGTGTGAATAACAAATAGACATTAAAATGTGCATTTACACTGATTTCAAGACAAAATGCGAGTTGTGTTTAGAGCTTCCGGTTTTAAAACCAGTGAATTTTCACATGCTATCAGACCAAATGCTATATTTCAAATGATAGGGAGTAAAAGAGATGTGGTTTTAGAGTTAAATGGAATTAAGTGGATTTAAATTCCAGCTTTACTAATACCAGATGTGTAACTTCAGCCAAGACCTCTTAAATTCCACTTTTTTCACCATTAGAAGAATAAAAACTAATTTAAGGTGAAAAAAGAATTGAGTTATTTCATATATGAAAAGTACTTAGTAACGGAGCTCAGCATAGGGTAAATTTTGTATATGGCAGCTATTTCTAAGCAAAGTCTACATGTATTTTTCTTAACACAACCCTTTTACAATTTTGCCTAGTACTCTCGGTGGAAAGGAAGCCTGCTCATCTTGTCTTAACCAGATGCTCATTGGGAGCATGGTCTTCTGGCAGTCTAAAACTCTTCCTGGATGATTTTGAGGTATTCAGTGAAAGTGGACACTTCCCTATTCCTCAGTCCTCACCTCAGATCTCCTTCCAGTATTCTGGAACCTCTAGGAGGTCAGGGAAGTGGTGATGTAGCTTTCTGCAAAACTTTGATGCCAGCTCAGTGTGTATCTCCTTTCTACACCTATCAATAACAAGGATCTTTTTTTAATGAGAAAGATTATTGCCTCTCTCTAGTTTATGAATGAAGCATGAAGGGAAAAACAAGCAAACAAGAAAGAAAGATAAGGTAATTTTATTTCTTTTCCCATGCTTGAAATTACTGATTTCAGATTGGTCCAGTGATACAAACTGTTAGGAAATGTAGAACATATTAAGTCTGATATTCAGACCATGAAAAAAGAAATTGACATAGAGACTCAAAGGAAATCATGACTCCTGCAAAACAAAAGACAAGAGATGTAGAAAGGATCATAATTCAAGTGGGAAACCTGCTTGATATTCCCAAGTCAGCACAAGGCTTTCCAAGTCTCCTTGACATCAGTCAGCTGGATGTCAGCTCTGTGCATGAGACAATTTTGCTAAGGGGTGTGAAGAAAACACTAAAGTATAAAACCTACTCCCTGATCCTCAAGGAGCTTACAACAGCGCTGGAGAGATTAGCCATGTAACTAACACTCCAGGGCGGTCAATGAAACGTGACAAATGAGTTGGCAGAGGCCTTGAAGAAGGAGGAATTCACAGTTAAGGATCATTGGGGGCCAGGGACTTGTCAAGGAAGGCTTTAAAAGGTGAAACGTAAGCTAAGCCCTAAGCGGGGGGTAAGGTTTTATGCGGGGAGAAATCCTTTTTTCCTTGAGGACTCAGGCAGAGAAGTAGGAAAACCAGTACTCCCCAATAGGTCTAACCCCTCTGCCTAGAGCGCATGCGCAGCCCAAGGCTCCGGCCTGGAGCTCAGCCCACGGGAATCCCGCCAGAACCCGGGAGCGCGAGACCCCAAGCCAAGGCGGGAAGACTCGCGCATGCGCAGCCCGGCACGCCAGGCTCGCAGGATAAGGAAAGGGAGGTGGGGTTTCCAAGAGAGAACTTGACCCGTTAGCAGCCTTGGCCGGCCATGGCGGCGCGCTCGCCAACCTCACCTCTCCCTTCCCGTCCAGCGCGACAGTTGGGCCCCCGGTCCCCGCGCGTTGATCTGGGGGCTGACTTACACGCAGTGCGCAGCGAGGGCTCGAGCTTTGCCGGCGCAGCGTGGGAGGGCGACGCGGATAAAAGTGATAGATTTTGGCTGGGCAATCAAGGGTCAGGGGACACGCGCGGGCCCGGGGGGGAAGTTCCGGCTCAAACTCCCCTCCTCAGCGCGCCCCTGGGGTCCGGGCGGCTAGAGGGCATCTCGGTAGAGAAGGCGATGGTGACCCGGACGCAGCTGCTGGAGGAAGAGCTGAGCAGCCTAAAGGAGGAGCTGGCCCTGTGTCAGGTATCTAGGACTGTGGCCGCCGGCGTTCCCTCCACCGCGGGCCGGGACCGGTGGGGAGGCGCGCCCTTCACCCCGCGTATTGAGGTTCTTCGCTCCGCGGGTTTGTGACCTATCCAGCTCCGCCGGGCGACTCGCCCTGTGGCACCTGCACCTAGCTCTTCCCACTGCCTAAGTGTCCCGACTCCCGGCTTCTGCTCTGTGCCTTCAGGTCCGGCAGGGTTTGCCTGCGCACGCCCCGGGGCTTGGCTTGTCACCTGGATACACCCTAAACGCGCCTCACCCCGCCCCTCCCTCTCAGCCTGTTGACGGTTTTGTCTTTAGTGGAACCCGCTGCCCAGCAGTAGAGTGCAGTCCAGGTGTTGAAATGAATCTCTGGCATAGTACACACTTTTGTTAAAAGTCCATCAATGAAGTACCCTGCTTTGAATTTTCAGATGCACACTTGCTGTTGGTTGTTGTTGCAGTGTCAAACTGAAGTTGTAAACACACTCATCTTTTTAGGTTTGAAACTTGGGCTGGGAACTTTCACACACCACAATGATGCTTAAAAGCCAAATAGCAATTCCATAATCCTTGACTGAGAAAAATCAGTTTAATGTGATTCTGTCTCTGAAAAACATTTGCTAAATCACTTGCACTAATGTCCCTTTCCTGTTTACTTATAGTTCGTGTATGCTGTGCCTCTGACACAGGTTTCATTCATAGAGATTTAATTTTCCTTTAGTTCTGCCTTCTTACCAACTTTTCAAGGTGTTAGGTAGGACATTACATGTTGGGAACTCAACAAGAGTTGTCCAATTAGGAACTGCTCAAGAATAAAGTAACTGTGCAGTTAATAAAACAGTGAAATTCGTTCTTACCATTTGTTTTGTTGGGTTATTTTGCCCCTTTTTTAGGTCCTTGATTGGATCAGGGGTCTAAACAGGATAGACTTGTTTAATATACCTTTGCTTAAACAAGTTGGAGAAGCATGTGGCTGGCCAATTTCTATTGCTCCCATTCTCTATTTTTCATTCATTAAGGAGCAAAGGGATAAATAGAAACTTATGAACTAAAATATTTTCTCCTGCAGACTCCCCCCTTGCTTAAAGATGAGAACTCATGATGTCATAATCTAAGAGATTATTTGTCCAACTTTTCTACCTTTTTTTCCTCTTTTCCTCCACAGTTATGACCTTAGCTGGCTAAAGAGTTGAAACATTTATGACTAGCTTGATTAAGGACATATGTCGGTTGAAAACAGCCTGGTGAACTCCTTCCCTTAAATCTGTTCACTGTTAGATTAAAATGTGGCTTCCAACAAAGGCAATGACTTATGTGACTTTGGCTATATCTGGATTAGGAAGGTGGTTGCAGTACTGTAGGCAAATGTAAAAATACTGAAATGGTCATAATTTGCTTAGAATTGATATTCTTGTGAATTATAATACTACTGTTAGGTAATCATAGTCATTCTAATAATGTGAAATGAGGTTGAGAGTATCTCACACCATAAAACTTTTAGTCATTGCAGACTCCTGTTCATAGGGAAATTTGGGAAAATATTGAACTCTCAATTGTTTTGTAAAATGAAAAGTATATAAGTAATTAAATACTCACTTTTGCATGTATTTTATTCTTTCTTCCACTTTTTTCAGCCAGCAATCACAGCACCTGAGAATACATAGTATTAAAACTGCTAGAATATGCAACCAAAGCTAAGAAATTCATTTTCTGTCTCAACCTAGTAAGAGAACATACACACATATAATTTTAGAAAGAATATCCTGTTTTGTGAGCATTGGTATTTTCTTTGTAATTCTTTTTTTTTAAAAATGATGTTCAGGGTTACAAATGTACGAAAGAATATCCTGTTTTGTGAGCATTGGTATTTTCTTTGTAATTCTTTTTTTAAAAAAATGATGTTCAGGGTTACAAATGTACATTACTCAGTGATAGAAAAATTACTTAGTATGGGCCAGGCTGGGGCTCAACCCCAGCACCATGAAATAAATGAATGAATAAATGCAGAGAGTGTCATTCAGGTTTAAATGAAGCTGATAACTCTAATGGACCAAAAATAGTTTGGTGAACTCTGCTGATTAGTCTGTGATCATGTGTCGTAGCTTCATTTAGGTTAGTTTTTGTTTTCACATACTACGTATGGGAATTCAATTTTATGCAATTGGTGAAGAAATAGGTGTGATTCTATGTACCATTTGACTCTTTTAGAGTGTTTCAGAATAAGTGCATAGTAAAAATGTGTATCTCTTAATATGAGCATCTCATCTTACTCTGTGGTTATATTACCTAATTAAACCTTTTTTTTTTTTTTTTAGAAGGCTCCCAAATTAGAAAGGAAGCTATACATGCTTAGCTATAGAAAAGTTGATTAATTTCAGTGTGGAAAGAAAAGCTGTCTGTGTTGTACTTTCAGAGGATAGTAGCTTAACTTCCAAATGTAGCTTTTCACAGTGAATTTTCAAGATTGTGCCAAATTTTGAGTATGTGACGCCTATTCCTTATTTCTCTGATTTAGAATCTTGTTCCATCATATTTTTAAGTATCTTTCAAGAAAGTACTCAGTTTGTGACAAAAGATGTTGCGAGTATGAGTATATGCGCATTTACCATGATTTATATAATACCAGCTGAGAAATAGTAAGTTAATGTTTATAATACTTGATTTAAACTGTAAACCAATTCCATATTTAAAACAAATTAGGACTATTAGATAAAATACATGTTAATTACCAAATTTAATGATGAAACTGTCTTTTTGGAAGCAGAGGATATTTGATTAGGAATATATTATGAGATAATTAAACAAGTTTTATTTTATGCTAGAAATTTAGGTGTGTTGAAAGAAATATAAATTTGTGGTTGTTTCTTGTAATTAGATTTTTCCTATTATTAATAGTTGTATCCTAATAGATGAATCTTTTTGTACAGTTTTTTAAAATAATAATTTACTAAATGGCTACTTTGTGTCATACTTTATAAATAATCTCCTGTAGCTTTCCTTAAATTCTGAGAGGAGGGGCTGGGGATTTAGCTCAGCGGCATAAGCGCCTGCCTTGTAAGCTCATGGTTGTGAGTTTAATCCCTGGTACCGACAAAAAAAAAAAAAAAAAAAAAAAAAAATTCTGAGAGGAGAATTGTTTAAATGTAGGAAATCTTTTTTGGACATTTGTTGACTTCATTCCTTCAGTAGAGGTAAATTGAAGTCTCCTATGTTTGCAACATTCATTGAGTCTTGGGAGCATAGGTAGCTGGTGAAAAAAGGCAGTTTTGAAATGTCTGTGCTGGAATATACATGGTGTCTATTTTCATTCAAGCTGATACATAAAAAAGAAAAATCAGTCTACTTCCAAGGAAGTATAGACCCCAATCAACTAGCCTTTAGTCATCTGTTTCGTATGCTGAGTTTAATAAACATTGTAAGATGGGTTAGGAATTTTTCTTTCAATTTTAAATTATTTGGCTCTGGAAATTCTGTCGTGAAAATAAAGACTCATTATAATGAGTAATTATCAGAGTTTTCTATCTCTGATTTTTAAAAATGAGCATCTTTAAGTACCAAAAGGAAGGACGTATCAAAAGAATGTGATTGGCAATACTTTTCTTATTTAATAATGTCTGGAATAGTTTGGAAATTAGTTTTATGGTTGTTTTGGGGAGATATTTATTTATTTTTGTTAGTGAGTCTTCTGCTTGCAGATATACAGTTTTCCCAGTATCATTTGTTAAAAACAAAACAAAACAAAACAAGCTGTTTTTCAACAACATAGGCTTTTGGGCCCTTTGTCACAAATCAGATGACTGTTGGTGCTTGAGATTGTTTCTGTGTCTTCTGTTCTGTTCCATTGGTCTACTTGTCTGTTTTTGTGCCAATGCCATGTTTTTGTTAATATGGCTTGTAGTGTAACTTGAAATCCAGTGTTGTGATGCCTCCAGCATTGATCATTTTCTTCAAGATTGCTTTGCTTATTTTGGGTCTTTTCTAGTTTCACATGAATTTAATTTTTTTTTTTCTAATTCTGTGAAGCATGTTGGTGGTATTTTAATAGAGAATTACACACTGAATCTGTAGATTGCTTTGGAAATATGGTCATTTTAACATTCTGCCATCTGTGAATAAGGGAGGACTTTCCATTTTCTAATGTCTTTTCCAATTCCTTTCTTCAAAGTTCTCTGTTTTATTGTCGAGGTTTTCACCCTTTGATTAGGTTAATTCCCAGTATTTACTTTTTTCTCATGTTGTGAATGGGACTCTTTCTCTGATTTTTTAAATGGGTTTATTACTGTTGTATATATTGAGCCCTATTGTTTTCTTGTTAGTTAAAAGGTATAATCCACTTTGAAGCTAATGCAACATTTGAATAATTAAAATACTCACGAAACTATCACTTAATTCAGCAACCCATTCTCACTCAGGAACTTATTTTTTTCCCAAATTACTAGACCCATTGTACAACATGATGGCTGTAGTTAATAACCAGTGTATTGTATACTTGGAAATTGGTGAGAGATTAGATTTTAAGTTTTCTCACCACAAAAAAGATGCTTTTATGGATAAGTTAATTAGCTTGATGTAGCCATTCCACTATATATCATATATACTCTAAGTATATACAGTGTCAACTAAGAAATAATAAGATTCTGGAAGATAAAATGGATAACTATATTTTAATTCTTGGAATAGAGATGGGTTTTGTAACTCATAAAATCCATGAGCTATATTCTGCCATTTCATTGGCAAATATAAATCACATAGCTGCAAGATAACAGAGGCCATAGTAATAGCTGACCAGCAAAAAGACAAAATGGTTTCTGTAACTGAAAGGAAAGATCGGATAGAGATATACAAATTGAGGTATCAATTGCAGGAGTAAACTCAAACAACCAAAGATGGGACAAATAAATAAATTGTACCAAAACAAGCAAAAACAAAACAGAACAAAACAAAAACCAACCAAAAAACCTGGATTAAACCAAACCAAACCAAAAAAACATACATCCCCCACCCCCAAGCAGAAAGAAACAAGGTAGGCTTTATCAGAGACTTGTGTTTTCGTAGCTGTGGTTAATACAGCAGGGAGGGAAGGCATCTCTTGAGGTGGTGATATTTAAGCAGACATGATTGAAATAAAGTCATAATCTATAAAAACGTAGTAAGTACTAACTATGCAAAGGCCTTAATTCAAATAAGAGCAACAAAATCTGTGTAAACAAAGGAGAGAGAGAGATGAGGTTGGAGAGGTGTGCACGAGGCCGCGTTATATTATGTGGGGTTTTGTAGCTTGGTTAAAGTATACAATGCTTTGTGTTATTTCCTAACATAGTGGGAACCCATTGGGAAGTTTTGAACAATAGGGCTTAAGTCTGCTGTAGGGACGTAGGAAAGAGTTAGAATTAACATGGAATAGGGTCATGGTAGTGGAAGTGAGAAGAGTTGTCAGAATTGGGATACATTTTGCAGAGAAGACCATTTCTGATGGCTTGAATGTGAAGTGTGAGGAAAAGACCAAGGTTAACTCCAACATTTTAGATTTTTGAACCAGTGAGTAGATAGTGGAGATATTTTCTGAGATACAGAGAGGCAGCTTTGTGAGAGGGGAGGAATGAAAATTTTCACTTTAAACAAGTTCTTTTTTTTTTTTTTTTTTGGTACTGGGGATCGAACACATGACCTCGCACTTGCCAGGCTAAATCCCTGGGGACAAATTCTAACTTTTAAAATGTTATTAGGAATTCCAGGGGGAATTGTCATGTAGGCAGTTGGAGATAAAAGTCTGGACCAATCAGTATAGGAAACAACTAGAGATAGAAATTTAGAGGTCTCAGTGAAAAATTAGTGTGTAACACCACGGGACTGGTGTGCAGTCAGCTATGGAACTGTCTTTCAACCTTGAGTGCACAGATTCATGTGAGGATTTTTCAGAAAATACCGCATAGATTCTTGGATCTCACTTGAGACTAATCTGTATTTCTAGGTCATCTTTTTTTAGACCTTTTAAAGAGAAAAATAAAACAAAATTTCAAAAACAAGACAGTAACAATAGTTAATGCATTGTGTATTGTTATCTTTAAATTAGTTGAGTACAAGGTAGCTCCCCAAAATTGATTCTTAACTGTCAAATAAGAGTTAATAACAACTGATACAGGCAGTAATACTGAAACTGTCCAACGTTTATTGGATTTGGCAATAGAGAGAACTTAAAGAATGGTTTTTAATATAATGGTGGAGAGGGAAATCTTATTAGAAGATACAGAGTGAATGGGGTGAGGAAGTGGAGACAGTGATTACAGACAACTCTTTTTAAAAAAAAAAAAAAAAAACTTGCTCAAAGGAGCTAAAAAATGGCACAGTAGTTGCAGGGCATTTCCTTCTAGAAAAAACTCAGTTTTTCAACATTTGTACTTCAAATTGTGGGTCATAGGAATATTAAAACTAAATATAGATTACCACTGTAAGATTTTTTTCAAATAAAACTTTCCTACTGTACCTTTAAAGAATTGTTAAAGAAGTAAGGATCAAGTAATTGTTTTTTTAAAATCTAATGTAATGTCTTTGATATTGGTACTGAACAATGCACTTAACATAGCTATTTATTTCTTTAAGGCTGATAAAGAATTTGTATGGTCTTTGTGGAAACGTCTTCAAGTAACAAGCCCAGATCTCACACATGCCGTCAGTTTGGTTGTGGAAAGGTGAGTTCCCAAATTGTTTTTCATGAGTATTTGGTTTGTTAAATGTGTTTGTCATTAATACCCTAAAGAGGTGAATTTGATTTTCAATTGAATGTGGAGCAGAACATGATGGTTACTGTATTCATTGCAAGAAGTGCTAATTCACCAAGTACAGCAGGCTCCATTCTCTTATATGTCATATTCTAACTTATTCGGAGTGTTTGCAAGTAAGAGAAGGCAATGGCTTAGACACTATGTGAAAGTGTGTGTATCCTAGTGTTTATATGTTTGGCTGGTGTAGCTTGGTTTGAAAAATTAAAGTCCCTATTTGTTTGGTGTTTTACTCCATAAAGTGTCCCTATTGGGGAACTTTTTAGGTCCAACTCACTTTTCCCCTAAATTACTTGCATTGTGTACTTGAAATCCTTAGGATGACCTTGCCAGATTAAGTAAGTGTTTGGGAATAGATTTAGCAATTTCACTTATATGCCATGTTATCTAGAGAGGATGCCCAACTGTTGTTACTTTCCTATTAAAGGAGAAGCTAAGTGTATAAATACCTTGTCCTTTCCCTTTTTCCTTTATTGGAATCATTTTTGGTAACTTAGTCTGAATAATTTATTTGAAGTTTCAAATCCTGGGGTTATTCTGATATTTGGAGTTTGATTTGTTAAAAATCTGTGATGCATGTGTTTAATTTTACCATACTTAATTGTTGTAGACTCTTAAAAATTATAATAATCAGTTTTTGTTCATGTGGCTTACATGTCTTATTCATCAGTTTTTGCCTGTCGATGATCAGAATTAGGTTTTAGTTGTAGACCCTTGTCTACAACTGGGTCTTCCTTGAGGTGAAATGTGATGACGATCTCCCTCTATTTTTTATATGAAGCAGGATAAGCCTTCTAGAGGAGCAGTTCATTTGTTATTTTTGTGATACCTTATTTAGTATTTATCGTTGACTGACCAACATTGAACTCATGGCCAATAGCTCTATAACTCAAATTTAATTGCTTATATGACAGACTATTCCCTATGGTACAAAACAGCCTTCTTTTATTTAGGAAAAATTGAAAGCTGTTCAGTAATGATCCTTTTTAAATGTCAGTCAAAAATACAGAAATGTATAAGATGGGGTATTGCATAGATCATAAAAAGGGCATAATTGTTTACAGTATGACAGTTGATACAAGAAGGTAGTGTCACCTTATTTGACATAGGTTGGAACAGATGGATAAGGTGGCTCAAATTTTTTACCAGTTTGTACATGCTTACAGATGACAGAAAATACTGATTTTTTTGAAAATACTGATTTTAGGGTTACAAATAAATTTTAATGTAGCCAAGTTCATAAATTCTGAACCTGTGAATGAAGATCAAATATCTCTAAAAGAAAAAAACTTGTAAAAATCATAATGATAACATTTTCATACCTAGAACTCATGTTCTATTTTGGTTAAATGCTGTAGATGGTCATATTTTCTGATTCTTTGCATGCTTTATAATTTTTTCTGGAAAAGTAGATATTTTAGATATTATAGTAAATCTGATTACTAGTTTCCTTCCGCATACCCACTCCTAGATCTGTTGTTTATTTGCTGTATTTTAATGAAGTCTGTTTTGTCTTCTCAGTGTGTTGAGTCTAACGTTACTCGTAAGGTAAATTTGGGTGTGCCCATAGTTACCTTGGCATGGCAGTATTTTTGACAGGGCTGTCATCTTTCTTTGACTGCAGTCAGCTGTTAAACTCCTCTAATTGCCTATGACAATTATTTTAATGGTGCCTTAGGGCATTAGCTCTTCTATAAACCAACATACTCCGTGGCTCTTGTGACATTTCAAATGTTTGATATTTTTTACACCCAGGAGAGGCCCTTTCCCCATCTTTTAGAACATAGCAGGACTGTGGTTTAGCCCAGTGTTGGTGGACCTTTTAGAGCTTTTTGTGATTACTAGCAGCTCGCTGTGGCACTTGTGTCATAGGCTTGCAACCACTGGAGCAACTTTAGTCTATATGTTGAACTCCTACCTTTCGCCTTTAACCTTAACCCTCATTATTCTCGAGAGTGCCTTACCTGAGAACTTCTCTAGTGTATTGTAAACCAAGTCAGTTTCTTTGAGAAGAGATTAGGAACTATTTCTCACTGCGTTAGGCCATTGAGCTGGTTATGGGGATAGTATGGGAGTGACAGTCCTGATTGGAACTGAGTAGTCTATGGAAGGGAGGCAATACCCTGAAATCCTTGGTTTGCCTCCACTTTTGTGAATCCATTTTTCACAAGTGGGAATAACGCTTTTAGGTCTCAGTGTTCTGTGCCCATAGTAGAGACTATTCCATACATTTGGAATGGTAGAAGAATGGGTTCTTCTCCTTTTAGCTGTGCTTGAATTACACTTGATTCAGCGACAGTCATCTGGAATGGCATTTGATACTGGGATATGCTTTTCCACCTAGGAAGAAAGCCCCACAAGGGTGAGCTGGCGGGAATATGTAGAGAAGGAGTCTTTTGTTCTTGGCTGCAGCTCTCTGTAGTAGAGTCTGTCTCCTCTTGATCTGGAAGTGTGCAAGGAGAAAGTTACCTTGGTTCAGATACCGTAGACACTTGCCTTTCTTAGAGAATTTTCATAGCTTTTCTTAAACAGACGTTTTTCTTTATGGATTTGTTCTTAAGATCATTTCCAGAGGACTGAGGTAGTTATTAATATTCTTATTTTATAGTTTTCACCAGTTTTATTGGGGATTGAATTGGGGAACTTTTTACACTGTCATTTCCAAAGTTTATTTCTCAATGTTTGGGCCGTTGTTATCCAGAAATAGAAAGCTTACACAACAGATCAAAAGAGACATGTAACTGTACTTGTGATAAGTACTACCAAGTTACCAGCTTAAGAAATTATCCCAACTTATATTTCTACCAGCAGTGTAAGTAGGTACTTGCTTTCCCCACAAACTAGACATCACATTAGTTTTAAACTTTTGCTAATTTTGAAAAATAAAAGGTTTTCACTTGCATTTCTCATACTTTAAATGAGTAAAGTCTGTATCATTTTATTCTCTGGGGACTTTTTCTTGTATATATCTTTTTGTATTCATTGCTTTTGACATTTCAGATTCTTGTAGTCCTCTTGAGACTCAGTATATGTATATTTATTGACCTTACTGGAATTTCTTTGAGTTATTTTGCCACCTAACTTTTTCACTATTATAGACAGACCATTTTCTTCTTTTTTTCTAAATTTCACATTTTGACAAGTAATATTTGATACCATTTAGTCTCTTTGTGAACAGAAAATCAATTCCCAAGTTAAATCACTTTCTCTGCAGTGTCACTCAAATGCAGTAATTCCTTCATGTCTTTAACTTTCAAATCCTCTATCTTGGCTCTTAGTATCTTAGCTCTGAACATTGTATTGATTTCTTTTTCAAAATCAGTTCTGTTTTACATCTTTTCTTTGAGGTAAAGCAAGATATAAGAGACCAAAAAAAAAAAAAATCGTAAAATTCAGTCTACAGCCAATGAAAACTCTAGGACTTTCTTAATGGCTATCTAGAGAAAACATGTAGCTGATAGGCATGGATCCCTAGTGAATAGCAAAGTTACTCAGAAACTAGACTCTTAAGATTTGGATGTGCATGAAAATATTTAAAAGAGGTGTCTGAATTACCTTTGTAAATTCAAAAGGTATTAGTTAAATGTAATCTGATTATCAAACATTGTGCTAACAGGAAAAGATATCTCTGTACTTAGCTATAAGAGTATTGGCTAGTGAGAAGAACATTTATAGATGGAGAAAAATTTTAATGGATATTAATAAGTATTATAAGGATATTTATATTTATGTAATGTTTTCTTTAATCTATGGGTAAAGATGTAAAATATTCTAATTCTATTTTAGTGATTGGAAATTTATTATTAAAACAACTTGATTTTTCTAATAGAATATTACATGCATAGAAAAGATTTGAATATATTTTATTTATGAATTTATTTATAGGATATACTTTTTTCTTGTGATTTACAGATATCTGAATGTGTTTGTTTTTTTTTTTAGTTTTATGAATTGTTGCTACCAAAAGCACATTTTGAATATATCATTTCTATGTTAGCTTTATAAATCCACTTTTCTTGCTATTACCTATAAAGTCTCACTCCCTATTACTAGTGTTAAGGAGTACAATCATCATATTTTAGCTTAGAGTGCATAAGAGAAAATTGCAAGAGATGATAGTAATAAACATAAAAGAAACAATGTGGAGTTTTGTAAATACCAATATATTGTTCCTCTTTTTATTGCTAACCTTTGATACTTTCCAGTTTCTCTATGGACAGAAAATCAATTTTCAAGATTAGTCACTTTGTCATTTGCAGTGTCACTCAAATCCAGTAATTCCTTCATGTCTTTAACTTCTAAATCCTCTATCATGCTCTTTATCTTAGCTCTGAACATCATATTGATTTCTTTTTCAAAAATCAGTTGTTTTGTATCTTTTGTTTGAGACAAAGCAAAGTGCCAGTGTGTACCAATTGTTTAATATCTTTGTGTTAAATACAAACATTATCTTGGCTTTTAAAATTAACAATATAGCATTTTATCTATTAACATATTTTGAGTCTGGAGAAGAACAATGCAAACTGCTATTATTTTGCCTATAAAAATTCTGTTTTGTGGACTTATCCAACAATGTGCTGTCCTACATTTTGTGTAACTCTGCTTTAAAGTATTGCAACTATTCTGTTTTGATAAAGAATCCCAGGAAATGAATTATTATGTTTGTTTACTGCTACTAGTTTATCTGGGGTTAGATGGGTTATTGTTTATTAATCATTTTTGTTTTCGAAACAATTGCTACAGTTGTTCTACCCTCTTGTATTTCGCTGTTTTTTGTTTTCTAGCTACTTGACGTCTGTTTATATTAGGGCAGTGATTTGACTGTGGTCTCTCTGAAGACCTTTTCTGATGAACAAATGTAAGGATCATGTGCCAAGCTGTATATCACCTTTTTTTTTTTGGTAAGGGAT